AGTCTGGGTGGGACTCGCCGGGGTGGGAGAGGCCTCTCGAGCTACCGCTTGAAGTGGGTCATGCCCTGGGCTGAAGAGCCACAGGTTCTTGGGGGACCCCAGGTACCCTCCCTCCCATTCTTGCATCTGCCTGCAGGAGATGTGGGCCCCGGGTGTACCTGGGCCAGGCCTGGCCTTGGGACAAGCAAGGGCAGAGGAGATCTGGGGTAGGATGGCAGCTCCACGGTGTTGGGCGAGCTTGGCCCCACGGGCCATGGTGTTGGCCCCAAAGCCACGTGGCTGGGTCGTCCGGGTGAAGCTGGTGGAATCAGACATCCAGATACAGAAGCTGGGCCTCTGGAGGGCCTTGGGCCCTCTGCAAAGCCACGGAGGCCAGAGGAGCCACGGGGATGCCCCAGGGCTCAGACCCCAGTTTTGGCATCTGCTCATCGGAGTGACTGGTCAGCAGCCTCTCCTGGTGCATCTCTGTCCGGGGACCTGGGCCAGACCCTGATTTGGAAAGGTGGATTGTGCTGAGGCCCCGCCTGAAGACACACATTCAGATCAGGACTTAGAGGCGAGGCAAGCGGGCCTCTCACGTTTTGTTGTGTAATTAAATTTCATTTGTTGGCCTTTGGACAGGAAATGCATTCACATGGCCAAAAATCAGGGTCCCCCAGGTGTACCGTGGGGGTCTTTGCCCTCCTGCCTCAGCCAGCCCATCTCCTCCCTGCGGGTAACCTGTGTTTGGGATGCGTGGGCAGGCACACACCAGCACGTGTGTGTCATTTGCCCAGGCACGCTTGGCGTTGTTCCCTATCAGTCCACAGAGGCTCTGCTCTCTTTTAAAACATTTTGAAGTTTGTTCTCTTTTGTCTTCATGACATTTTTAAAAGTTGCAGGAAGATAAACACAGCGCAGAGATTTACTGTCTTCACTACTTTTAAGCGCACAGCTCAGGGGCGTCAAGCACATTCACGCTGTTGTGCAGCCGTCCCCCTCCGTCCGTCCCCATTGAACACGGACCCCTCCCCTCCCCTGCCCCTATTTCTGTGGGTCCGACTCCTCTGGGGCCTCCTGGGAGTGGATCCTTCGGGATTGGTCCCTCCGCGCCGGGCTGATCTCACTCGGCACCGTATCCTCCACGTTCATCTGTGTTGTAGCCTGTGTCCGGATTTCCTTCCTTTTTAAGGCTAAATTATGTTCCATGGTGTGGACAGGCCACGTGGTTGCTTCCACCGTTTGGTTTTGTCAATGGCGCTGTCATGAACATGGGTGTGCAAGTGTCCCTTCGGTTCTCCTGGGTGTGCGCCCCGCAGGGGGATCGCTGGGCCATTCGGTGATTCCCTTTCACATTTACCGGGGCGCTCTGCTCTTTTTGATCGCTGTGTAACACTCCACAGGCCTTCTGCCGGGCTCTGCTGCTCGACAGACAGTGCTCTCCGATCTTCGGCAACTGGAAACACCCTCTGGGGCGTGGGCCCTGGTGCCTTCGCCTCTAAGGGGTCCCCTGAAGGATCAGTCCCTGGGAGCTGCCTGGCTCCGTGTCACACGTGCCCGGTCCCCTGACCCAGTGCCTGCGCTCGGCATTCCTGTGCTCTCGGTTCTCCATCATCTGATGGGCAACAGATGGCCCCCTTCAGCTTCTACGCGCCCCTTCTAACGACCGGAGCTTCGCGGCGTACATGCTTCCTGCCCAACGCGCTGCCTGGTCACATCTTTGGCATGTTTTTCTCTGAAGTGTGTTTTTCCTGGTTTGTAAAAACCCTTAAGGATTAGGGCTATTAGGCGCTTGTCTGTGACAGAAACCAGTTGCAAATATATTTCCCAGTTTGTTATTTTTCTTATAACATTGAGGAGGACTTTTTTTTTTTTTTTACAAACATGAAGGATTTCTTTCCATTTTTGTGGAGATGCACACCAGCTTTCTCTTTGTGGGGCTCCAGGCTTTTGTGACACCATCAGTTAGGAAATGGCTTCCAACTCCCTGGTGCTTCTGGCATCTTTGCTGCATTTGGGATTTGACCCTGGGAAAAAAGGAGAAACTTGGTTTTTTCTAGATTGCTACCCAATTTCTAACATCATTTATCGAATTGCCCCTCTGTCCTCCATGGACTCAGGCTGACTTTGTCACGTGCTAAATTCCCATGTTCCCATTTTGCTTTATTTTTGGGCTTTTTTTTTTTTTAGGATTTATTTATTTATTCTCGAGAGAGTGAGAGAGCACGAGCGGGAGGGGCAGAGGGGGGGCGAGAATCTCAAGCAGAGTCTGCGCTGAGCGCAGAGCCCGACTCAGTCTCATGACCACGAGATCACAACCTGAGCCGAAACCAAGAGTTGGACGCTTGATGGAGGGAGCCACCCAGGCGCCCCTGTTTCTGGACTTTCCATTCATTCCTTTGATCAGTCTTCTGATTTTCCAAACCCCGTTGTTTCACCTGTTGCAGCTTTGTGCCCCACTGCCTCAGTTTACTGGATGGCTCTTGCTTGTTGTTCTCCCTTCTGGAATTTCCCAGCCATGAGCTCATCTTAGTGAGCAAAGACCACTGCATTTCTGTTGTTTGTTCACTTTATGGACTGACTGCTTAGGGGACGTCGGCCCCTTTGGATGTTGAGTGCCTTTACCCAAAATTGCAGACGACCCTGTGTTTGTCAGAGGCTCCTTTTGTGCCCGTCATGTGGCTTCCAGCACGGGAGGCCTCTTGGGAGGTGGAAGGAAGCCAATTTGCACTTTGCAGGGCTCTCGTGCCTGCTCATTCCCAGGCCAGGTTGGATTCGCTGGAGAGCAAGGCTTCCGGGCAACAGGGGCCGTCAGCGGCGTAGCCAGGATCCCCAGTGTGGCACGCTGGTGGCTGGCCAGGTGTAGCTGGTAGGACCCTGTCTCTTCTGGGCCTGAGTCCGGACCCTGAGCTGAGGACGGACGGTCTCTCTTCCAGGCTGGAGAGGTGTGACGTGAACGTGGTGGAGCTGCTGAGACAGAGCTCTGGATGGGTGTTTGAGAACCCCTGTAAGGCGACGGCCTCCACGGTCTCATGCGGGGCGCGGGGCGGTGGGGGATGGGCTGGCTTTCCGGGCCATCCCCAGTGGGTTCCGCCACCGGCAGCCTGGGCTGGCGTCCCCTGCCGCCTGGCCAGTGCCGTGGGAAGGGGAGCGGGCCCATCCCCGAGACTTCCACTAGGAAGTGAAAGGACTCATTTTGTCAGAGGTTTGAAGACAGAGGGCTCACACTGGCATGCCCCGCGGGGACCCCGGGCCTCCCTCTGGGGTGATGCCCCCGAGGGGACATGATCGGTGGAGTGTTCCCCCCCGGCATGAGCTGGGACAGGCACTTGCCGGCCATCCGTCCCTGAGGCCCTCTGTGTGCTGGCTCTGGGGACCAGGGGACAATGCCTGGGAGCGCTCAGCTTCCCGCGGGGGCCTCTCGTGAGGTCTGATGCTCCCCCCCGGGGGGGGCACGTATTTCCTAGCCCTGGGCGTGCTGGACTACCGGGTGCTGGGCACCAACTTCAGGGACTACGCCATTGTGTTCACCCAGCTGGAGTTCAAGGACGAGGCGTTCAACACCGTGGAGCTGTATAGTAAGTGGTGGAGACCACGGGCCAGCCCCACGAACTCCCTGTGGGGCAGCCGCGCTGGGCATCCTCCTGCTGACTGTGCTGAGCCCCGTGCCCCCAGGGTCCCAGAGCGCCATCCCTGCCCTTCGGCTCCCTGCAGGAGGGGTGGCTGGGGCACGGGGCACACGTGGTGAGGGCTCCCCTCCTGCCCTGCAGGCCGAACGGAGCTGGCCAGCCAGGAGGCCCTGCGCCTCTTTGCTAGGTGGAGCAAGGGCCTGGGCTTCCTGTCTCAGCAACAGGCCACGCTGCAGCCGGACCGTGAGTGTCACCCGATGCCCACGGGCCCCTGGCTGACTTCTGCTGGTCTCGGGGTCCCTCCGGACCTCAGGGAGTCAGGCAGGGCGGGGGTGGGGAGCTCTACATGGAGTCACCTGCTCCTGCCCAAAGCCAGGCCTGCAGGGCCGGCCCCGTCTCAGGCGAGGCCATGGGCAGAGCGGGGTGGCCGCGGTGTGTCCTGGGTGCCCACCCTCACAACTCCTCTTTCCCCCCCAGCCACCTGTGCGCACAAGGCTTTCTAGGTAAGCTGCCTTCCCGAGCATCACCCCAGAACCTACACCCCAGAGCTCTGCCCCGTGAAGGGCCGGGGCCGGGGCAGACTCCCCTCGCAGTGAACCTGGGGTCCCCCAACGCTCTTCTTGGTTTTCAGTGAATGTGTCGACCTCCAGGGCGGGCTGCTTTCAGGACTCACCCTGCAGTTCCAAATAAAGCGATCCCACAAAGCCCTGCAGATGGCTCTCACCTGTGTGCCGAGGGCGGACGGCAATGCCAGGCGGGCACTGCCCTCTTGGGGCTCCCGTCGGTGCAGGGAGGGGAGTGGGTGTGGGGCTCACGGAGGGCTGGGCCATACAGCACAGAACCAGCTCTGGCTGGGGGACACGTGGACGCGGGTCTTGGCTCTGGAGTGGGGGCTGGGCTGGGGGCAGCTGCTCCTCAAGCAGAGGTCACCACAGTCCCTGGGCTGGCGGGAGGGCATGCTCACACGCATCCAGCAGCCCTGTCCGTCAGCACCCGCTCGGGACAGAGAGCCCTGGTTTCATGCTAGCGCTGTCTGAGCCCCGTCTTCACTGTGGTCCTGCTTCTCACGGGCAAGTATCCCTATGAAGGGACTCATAAGGACGCCTCCCGGCTGCTTGCCTCTCTTCCGGGGGGCTAGGATGGCAGGCCCTGACTCCCTGAGGTCCGGAGGGACCCCGGAGCTGGCCCCCGCTGGGGATGTCCGGCCTTCAAATTCAGGCAGCACCTGCCAGGCCGAGCCCCTGGGCCGTCTGTCTGTGCCCCACAGCCCCTCTCCCTCCCCATTGGCCCACCCCAGGCTGGCTCAAGGCTCCGGGTTGGCTGGACAGGCAGGGTCAGGTGGGTGGGGAGATTTAAACGCAGTGCCCTGGCGGCCGAGGAAGGAGGGTGACAATGGGACCAGGGAGGCTGACGTGCGTGCTGGTCTTGGCGCTTATGCTGGCTATGGGGTCCCGGCCACAGGAACAGCTACCCAGGGAGTCCCACAACCTCAACTGGAACAAGGTGAGCCACACACCTGCGGTCCCCAAGCCAGACAGCCAGGCCGACCGGGGCCAGGGATGCAGTGTGTGTGGCGGGCGGCTGGAAGATCACTCCCTGAAAATCTCCAAAGGGCCATTCTGGAACAGGGGGCAGTGCCTCGAGGGCAGAAGGAGTTTCAGGCCCTGGCGTCTCCCTGAGGAGCTGGTGGCCACACAGGAGGGGGGAGGGCCGAGGGCCCCAGGCAGGTGCATCCTCAGGGCACCGGAGATGCTAGGTGGGCAGAGGCCGAATGAGCAGAGCGTGTTCTGGAACAGCGAGATGGCTGGCAGGTGGAAGGTTCTAGTGGGGGTGGCCGTGGGCACTGACTGCCTGGGAATGTGCGTTTGTGGCAGGAAGTCAGAGGGATGGGGCTGAGGGCCGAGCTGGAAGGAAGGGGGAGGCCTTGCACAGGAAGGGAATTCCAGCACGCGGTACCCACGGCCCAGCCCTTGGGGCCCCAGCCCGCCTGGCACCTGCCCACCAAAGCCTGGAGGGGCAGCCGGGGCCCTGCGCAGGGGCTGTGCTGGCCTGTTGGTGCTGGACCCGGGCCGGGCCTCAGGCCAGTTGTCAGTGTCCGCTGGGTTCCTGGGGGCCCGGCTGGGAGCCTGGCATGGGCAGCTTCGCCAACACGCTCTCCACAGTTTTCAGGGTTCTGGTACATTCTGGCTGTCGCCTCTGAGGGCCAGAGATTCTTGCCAGGCAGAGACAGGAGGAAGCTGGGGGCATCCATGGTGGAGGTCCACAAAGTGGGCCAGCTGAAGGTGGTTCTTGCCTTCAGCAGGTGAGTGGACCGGGGTGGGGGCCCAGCACACTCTTCACGGAGACCTGACCACAAACAGCCCAGGCATCTCTCCGTCAAGAGGGCAAAGGGATCCGGGGGCGGGGGGAGCCAGACCCACGATCATCTGCAAATCTAACAGACCATCTCTGCGGCCCCGAACCCCGTCCTGCCCCTAAAATTCAAGGCCTGATTTTGGGAGAGGCCACCACGTACACGGGAGCACTTGGCAGAGAGTGGGTGTTCCGAGTGTTTCCTTAAGCTGTGGGACTGGCCCTGCTCCAAACTGGAAAATTCCAGAAAACTAGAGCCAACAAAGGGCTCTCGCCTTGCCCCCCCAGGTCACAGGGGTGCCAGTCACACACGTTAATTCTGCGGAAAGATAGGAAAAAGGCGATGTTCAGGAATACTTGTGCGTATGAAGGCCCAGAGCCTGGAGAGAAAGACCTGGGGGTGGGCGTGTCCCCGGCTTCACGGCCACAGACCTGGGAGATGCCGTTCCTCTGTCCCAGGGCTGGGTGGGTGGGATGGACAGCGGCCCACGAGGCGGGCAGGCAGGCCACGGTGCCAGAGCCCACAAGCATGCAAGGGCCTGCAGCCTAGGCCTGGAAGGTGGTTGGGTGGGTGGGAGGGACTCCTGGCCCTTTCCACATGCCCCTGTTGTGCAAGCCTGATCCGGCGGCCCCACGCTTCTCTTCCGGTCCAGTGAAGGGGGTAGAGGGTTTCCACGTGCTGTCCACCGACTACAGCTACGGCGTGGTCTACGTGCGCCTGGGCCGGGCTGGCCGGACCTCCAAGACCCTGCTGCTCTTCAGTGAGTCCAGCGGCAACATCTGGGGAGAGGGCGTGTGGGGTGCAGGTCAGGTGGGGGACGGAGGGATGACAAGCTCAGAGGGGAAGGTATGGAGGCCCCTGCCTCAGCTCGGGCTCCATGACAGAGCGCCACAGACTCCACGGACGCCCACAATGGACGTTGATTCTCACGGCTCAGCGCGCCGACCTGGCGGGTTCCGGGGAGGCCCCCCTTCCTGGACTGCAGATGGCCGCCTTCTCACTATGTCAAGTGTCGGGGTGAGGGCTCTGGTGTCTTCCTTTCTTATATGGGCACTGATCCCATTGTGAGCACCCAGCTAACCCCACACACCTCCCAAGGCCCCAGTACCTCACACCATGCCTTTGGGGCTTTGACGGATGAATTTGGGAGGACAAGAACACGCAGTCCGTTCCTGTCATGGCCTTTGCGCTGCAGGCTGGCAGGAAGTGGGAAGTAGGAGGACAGGGCTGGGACACACACAGCAAACGGGTGGCCAGGTGGGCAGGAGGACCGTGGCGCCCGGACGGGGGGACCAGGTGGGCAGGTCTCTGATGTGGCTGCCACGGGGCTGAGTGGGGGAGGCCAGTGCACAGGCAGAGCCCAGAGGGCAAGAGGCCAGGAGTGGGACTGACTGTCTGCACGGAGGCAGGGGACCCCCCGGGCTGAGGGCAGGATCGGGGGAGCAGGGGGAGGTGGTGAAGGGAGGACGGGCAGGGAGCTTCTGTCCAGAGAGGGGGTGGGGAAAGGGGGCACAAACCCACTTCTGGGCACCAAGGCCTGCGGGACACCCATCGGAGAGGTCGGAGGGGTCCTGTGGTCTCAGTGGAGGAGGGCGCGGCCAGGAGCGCAGCGGGAGGGGCCTCAGGCTCCGGCCTCAGGCTCCTGTGAGCAGAGAGGGCTCCCCAAGTGGCCCTGTGTGGTGCCTGCCTCTGGGCCGCACCGGGGACACCCACTTGCCTCGGAGCACAGAGGGGACAGAAGGACACTCCCCATCACCTGCCCGCGGCCGCCTCCCTTGGCAGCACCCTGGCTTCTCTGTCCTGCCAGCTCGGAGGGCGCTGCGGTGGCCGCGGGCTCGGGTACGGCCCCAGACGGCCAGAGCTGGGGGCTCTGACCTTGTGATTCTGCTTCCAACTGCAGGCAGGCAGAACACGTCCAGCTTCCCGAGCATGAAAAAATTCGTAGACATATGTGAGATTTTGGAGCTCGCAAACGGTGTGACTGTTCTCCCGAAAGATGGTAACAGACGGCCACGCGCCCTTCTGTGCAGACCCACAGCACGCCCGGCCCCATCCGGCCCCTAGAGCTCAGTGCCTCTCTCTCCCGCAGCCTCGTGTGCCCACACCATCCTGCCCTGAGAGCCAGCGCCCACCCACCCGTCCCCTCGGGGCTCCACCCGCGGTCCCCCTTGACCCGGGGAACATTGCTCAAGACTGCAGGTCCTCACATCCAATGGCCTATTGAGACGCATTTGATGACCCCAGGCCACTGATGGGGTGAAGTCCAGGGCCATGGCTGTAGCCCAAGAGGGATCCTTTATGATCATGGAGAGATGGGGGTAGGAAGGGGGTAGGAGGGCAGGCACTGACCAGGCAGGGGGATGCCCGACCGGGCCCATTCTGCTCATGCCCTCCAGATCACACGGCGGAAAGAGGCTGCCACACTTCTTGGCTGGGAAATAGACCACGGCTGGTCCAATGTCGTCCTTGCTGTATGCCTTCTCCACAGCGCGTCTGCCGCCAGTCCCCATGGTCCCTGATGTCCTCCACTTCCTCAGGAAGTCGTTCACTTATTCGCCCAACATTTCTAAGCACCTGTGACATGCCAGGCACGTGCTAGCTGCCGGGGAGAGGCAAATTGGCAAATGCGGTCTCAGAGATCTGGTGCCAGGACAGGCTCACTCCAGCGCAGCCGCCCATGCACATGACTGCAGACTCGGGGAAATGTGTCTGCAGAGAGCGCAAAACAAAGGCAGGTCTGACTCACACCGGGTGGGGCAGGAGGGGTCGGGGAGGGCTTCTCGGAGGAAGGAACATTCGGAAGAGAGCTGAAGCACAGAGGTAGTTCAGGAAGTTGGGTGGGCTTCTGCGGAAGAGGAAAGCGCTTTTGAAAAGCCCCAGAGTGGTGGAAGCGGAGGGAAGCGTGAGGGGAGAGGAGAGGACAGGCCGTGGAGGAAGGTTCAGTCATAGGAGAGGGAGCCCCGGGCAGGCTCGGGGGCTGAGCTTGGAGCCCAGAACCCCCAAACGGAGAGGCCACGTGGGGGGCTGGAGTTCAGAGGACAGAGAGACGTGGGAGCCGGACACGTGGAGTCACAGGATGTACTTGGTGATGGAATGCTGCCACCCAAGGGGAGCACAGTAGGATGGCGTCAGTCGGCTGCTGCCACGTAAGGACCACCCACAGCATCTCTGCGCTACGAACCGACACGAATTTACTTAGCTTTCCCGTCCGGGCCAGCGTGGGGTCAGGTGGTGCAGGCCGGCCCTGCTGGGTGGTGGGGGTCTCCGCAGCTTGCGCCCGCATTGGGGGGTGGCTGGCGGTGACTGGTTCGGGCCGGCTCTGCTGCCATTGTCCCCCTCCCACCGAGGGTGGCCACGTCCTGCTTGTCTCACGGCCACGCCGAGGCCACAGCAGGCTCAGCACAGGACTGCATTTTTGCTTCAGTGGCTAAGTGAAGCACGTCGAGGGGCCAAACGCAAAGTGCGGAAGGGCCTGCGAGATGCACGTTCCCGGCCAAGGGCGCAGGCGCAGGAAGACATGGCCAGTCCGGCCCCCGAACTCCGTCTGCCCCAGCACCGTGCTCTGCCCCGGGCATCAGGCCAGGTGTCCTCACCCTGTGCCCCACCCCAGAGCCCCACATCCCCTCTAATGGGGGGCAGTAGGATCGAATCCGGGGTCTTGCGACCACAGAGGCCCCTCGAGACCACACGGCATGAGGCCTAGCTGGATCCCCATGTGCTCAGCATCCGTGGGGGAAGAGGGAGCGAGGCCCGGAGTGGCCACACCCACAGCAGCTCAGGGTCTGCCAGAGGCAGCACAGGAGCCTCGTTCCTCCAGGACATGAGTGGCTCCCGGCCCATTGTTCCCTGGCTCTGCCCACTAAGACCCCCCTTCCTCTCCATGCTTGTGGGGAAGGCGCTGGGGGGCAGGCCTGGCCGCACAGAGCACGCCCCGGAGGCCCTTCGGAGCTCTGCTCTTTGAAACATTGTGGGTTTCTGGGTAGGCAAGCCTCATTATTCCAGCTGCCAGGAACCTCACCACAGTTCCTGAGGCCACAGGCTCTTCCTAGATAGTTCCTTATTGGAACGTGGAGGATACCAGATCCCTGAGGGACAGGGTCCCCACACCCTAGATGCCCTCTGCACAGCTTAGGAACTGACTATGCACACCAAAATACTTCCAGAGTCCTGACAAAGACACGATCCGAACTCTGCTTGCAAGAACAGACCTTTCATATCTCACAGTTCCTGTACCAGAATCCCGGCTCAGCTCAGGGGGAGCCTCTGCCTCCAGGTCCCCCAGGAAGCCGGGGCTGCAGCCTCCACTCAGGCTCGACCGGGGCAGGCTCTGTCTCCAAGACCGCTCACGTGGTATTGACAAGATTCGGTTCACAATGGGGGCTCAGGACTTTTCTGTCAGCCTGGACCCTCTGTAGGTTCTTTGGACTACAGTCTCCCAGGGCAGCTCATACTATCTGATCTTGCTTCTCCAAAGCACGGGATCAAAGAGAGACACACAGAGAGAAACACAGAGACACAGAGATAGAGAATGAACACAGAAGAGAGGGAACCAGAAGAAGTCACAGACTTTCCTCCATCAGCTTGGAAATGACATCCCAGCATTTGGCCCCATTCTCTTCCTGAGAGCGCGGTCACACAGGCCATCCACCCTGGAGGGGAGGGGATTCCACAGGGATGTGTGAGCAGGATGCAGGAATGCCCGGGAACCACTGTGGGGACTGCCCAGCACATGGGCGCAGACGAGGCCCCGGGGCCTGAGCCTAAACCTAATGGGAGCCCCTGGAAGTGTGCGTCACCAGGGGACAAGGTCAGAATCCGTTCATTGCAACCTTCCCACAGGGGCTGGGAACAGGCAAGAAGGGGGTGGCTTTGCCCGGACCCCAGAGCAGACCCAGGCCCCTCTGAGCTGTGCTCCATGTCCCACCCAGCCCCTGGCTCATCCTTGCATTGCCAAGTGTGCCCCAGCCTCCTGTGATAGCAGGTCCGGAATGTATGTAGAGGTCCTACCCCTCATGGCGTCCCTAGGAGTAGAAGCCAGAACACCCCACTGTGCAGATGGGGAGCCTGGGGAGGCCCTGAGAGGCACAGGGTCTGTCCAGGGTCACAGCCCTGGGCACGCACAGGAGCCCAGTCTGAAGCCAGCTCTGTGTCCTCACAGCGGGGACACCGGCTGCACCCAGGCCTTGGGAAGGCTGTGGGGGGGCTGTGAGGGAGTCACTGTATGGATGGGGCATGGGGGGAGGGGGAGCATTGAGCAGCTGGGGGAGGGGGCCCTCGGGGGTAGGGACCTTGTGTGAGGAGGAAGTTGGGTAAGGGGACCCCGGGCAGTGGTGACCTCACTTCCCTGACAACAGAGTCCAACAGAATTTGGAACCCAGGTAACCAGGCACCCACATTCCAGAGACAGCCCCCTGCCCAGCTCATTTCGTTGGAGATCATCCAGCCATGAACATGTGGGCTTGTTGCCTCCCTAAGTCTGGATGCTGCAGGCAGAAGAAAGCCCGCCCCGCAAACGCTGGCCCCCGCTGGGGATGTCCGATCAGGGCCCCCCACCGCCTCTGGCCGTTTGGCCGGAAGGCCCGAAAGGTGACACCAGGAGGCCCAGAGTCGGCCACCCAGCCCTACAGGGTCTAACCCACCTGTGCAGCCCCAGGTCCCCTCCCCTCCGTGTGTGTGTGTGTGTGTGTGTGTGTGTGTGTGTGAAGAGGGGTCATGTGGGGTGGGCCAACCCCATTCAAGAGCAGGCTGATGAGGGGTCAGATAACCCGTGGGCAGGTCATGTTCAAGGTCAAGGCTGGCTGGGTGGGACGGGGTGTGGGGGGCTGTGAGCTTCTGCCCAGGGTTTATCTCGATCGCCCTGCAGGGATGGGTCACTGTCCGGTGTGCAGGGCTGTGCACCCACAGGTGTGTGTCTGATCTGGGAGCAGCAGGGCGACTGGGCAGGGGACAGGGAGGTTGGCCGGGCAGGACTGGGATGCCTCCGGGCCGGCTACCCGTCCCTGTCTTTGCAGACCTCCGATGAGATCGGCACGAGGCTGGCGGACACCCACTCCATGTCCGGGATCCGGAGCGTGACCCCACAGGACTCCCCTGGAGCAGGTGCTGGGGATTGCGGGGAGAGGCCTCCGACACCACCCAGACCACTGTCCCTGGTGGTCGTTGACTGCATTGTCCTCCAGGAGCCGGAGCCCACGGAGGCTGAGCCCGAGGGTGAGAAGCCCGGGGCTGGGTGCCCGTGGGTGTGTGCGGAAGGGTGGGGGCTGGCCCCACAGGGAGGAGCCCCCAGAGCCTGGTGTGGGGCCTGGAGCAACGACTGGCTCAGAGCGCCCAGCGGGTGGACTGCGGTCGGGGAGACGCCCCGGGGAGGGCTCCTTCCTGGCTGCGGCTTCTCTGGGAGGCCCTGGGCTGGGTTCTGTCTCCACGGAGAGCAGGCTCGGGCTGAGCTTTTCTCCTCTCACAGCTGCTCCACCACCTGAGGAGCTAGAGCCGGTTCCAACTCCATCGGCAGCTCTGGACGGAGGGGTGGTGGCTGCGACTTCAGCAGGAGACCAGGAGCCGGCAGGTGACCCAGCACCCGCCCACGGAGAGCCTGACGGGGGCCAGGAAGGGCCTGCTGGACAACCTGCCTCCGGAGAGCCTGCCCCTGTGCCTGCCCCTGTGCCTGCCAGAGCCGCCGCCCCTGCGCCTGCCCCGAACTGTGGCCCTGCTCCTGCCCCCGACCCAGCTCCTGCCCTGGATCCTGACCCATCCCTACCCCTGCCAGTGCCCCGGTTCTTGCCCCTGACCCAGATACTGCCCCGGTGCCTGTACGTGCCAATGCGGCAGACCCTGTCCCTCCCCTTGCACCTGCCCCCTCCCCTTCCCCGGCTTGTGCTCCTGTTCCGGCCCCTGCCCCAACTCCTGCCCCTTCCCCTTCCCCTGCCCCTGCCCTTGCCCCTGCTAGAGCCAATGTCCCTTCTCCTGACCCACCTCCTGCCCCTGCACCTGCACCTGCCCCTTCCCCAGCACCTGCCTGTGCACCTGTTCTTGCCCCTGACCCAGCTCCTGACCCTGCACCAGCCCCTTCCCTTACCTGTGCACCTGTTCTTGCCCCTGATCCGGATCCTGACCCTGACCCAGCTCCTGCCCTGGATCCTGC